TCTTAGTTAAAACATTTTTATTCCATTAATGCAATTCTTTTTATGGAAATTTGTTTATCCAAATATTTATGTGTTGAAGCAAAAATTATCATAATTATAAAATCAAATTCAATTAATTACTATATTGTGGACATATTAAAAAGATATGAATGACATGCGTGATCTTCTTTCATGATTTTAAAAAACTGGAATGGTGGTCGGAAAACTAAGTTGGGGTTTTTTTAATCCAAAAAGTCCATCTTGCAACCTATTTTTATCTAAAAACATATAATAAACATCCTTATTATGTTAATATCTTAACTTGGATTTATTTTTTTTTTAAACAAGATGGAGGTCTAAAAACACCTTAATGCTTTATTAAATAAATTAAAAAATATATAAACCGATAAAAAACTTATTAACATTAATTTAATATTAAAATGAGAAATTAATTTTCATGGTAGAAATAGAATATATATATGATGCAAATATCTTACACCAATTATATTTCCATTCGTTTTATCTTAGAGGTTAATTATTGAATGATTTTTGTTTTTATAAAACAAATCATATAAATACAATTAATTCATATAAAATATGAGAGGAAAAAGATTTAAAAGAAACCATACTAGTCTTTTCAAGTTATCATGCATCCACACAAATATACAAAAATCAACCAATAATATTAAAAATGAGTCATATGTTGATAGGCCAGTTCATGCACTTAGCTTTAATAAAAAAAAGTCCAAGATTATGCCTAAGTTTTTTTTTTTTTTATGGGTGTTTGTCCACTCCTATTTTTTTAAGTGGGTGATAGGTCTGGATGATTGAAAAATCATGGTCCAAGTTTTTAGACCCTTAAACCCTATTATTTTGCTCATTTTCACAGAAAAATCATGGTCTAATTTGAGAATGACTATATCATTTCTCATTGTTTTATACTTTAGCTCTCATTTGTTAAATTTCATCTCTCTAACAAATTATAGGAAATGGGTCATTAAATTGGTCAAAGAAGGTTGTAATTGAAAAACATTTAAGGATTAAAATGAAATAAAAAAACTAGAGGTATTGTGGATTACTAGAATGATTACCTAGTTGTTTTAATGTATTTTATAATTTAATCCATTTAATTTATATTTTCATCGTAAAACCTATCAAGGATTGGTTTTTGCATTTCAATACACATATTATATTATAATTATAATTGTCATAATCCATTTTTGGGTCCCCGCGCAAAAATAAAAAAGAAAAAAAAAGAAAAAAAAATATTAGCAAAGAGAAAAAAAAAGAAAAAGAAGAAAAAAATATTAGCAAAAAAATATAACAGTGAAAAAAAGATGTTAAAATGCTCAGAAAATGGTCGAAAATTGGTTGAGGAGGTTCAAAAATATAAAGATTGAAATTTGACAATATTTGTTTTACTAATGATAGTCTTGTTGACAAAGAAAATTCAATTTGAGGAAGAAAAATCCAAAATCAAATATTTATGAACTCAATTAAATTTTATTAAGAGTTTCATTGAATTTATTGAGGGTTTGATTACAAGAAAAATTAAATGTGAAGTCAATTTGAGCTTTAATTAGAAGAAATTAAAGTTCTGGGGATAAATTATAATTGCTAAGAGTTAATTTGATCAAATTAGGGGTTTAATTGCATAAATATTAAAATTTGATGGTCAATTAGGGACTTAATTGAAAAATCTAAAACAAGGACCAAAATAAAAAAGAAGCATAAATAGATGGGCTGTAATTAATTTGAATCAGGAGTCAAATTAAAAAAGTTAGAAGTTTATTACTCAATTGAAGGTCAAATTGCACTAATTCAAGATCAAGGATCAACGTGAAAAAGACGACCAATTTCAGGGCCGCTGTTTGATTTTTGGCAGGGATGTAATTGTATTGTTTTTTAATCAAAATTGCAATCTAGGACTTGATTGTACAAAGTACAAATTGAGGACCAATGTGAACTTTGACATGTTTTTCCTGTTTTTTTTTAATAAAACAACGTATTTTAACCAAAACGACGCCGTTACATGCACTGTTTTCATAAAAAAAAGCTCGAAACGATGCCTTTTTTAACGGCACTGTGGGTCAAGATTTTTTCTTCATCTGTCACCGTCATCTCAATCTTCAGAAAAATGCTGACTCTCTTTTAAAAAGACGCCAACTTGCCCACACCTTTGCATGTGTTGAGGGGCGACAACACAGTATCTGTCCCGTCTACTTTCTCCTCTGTTTTTTCCCTATAAAACAGGGGAGCACACAAGAAAAAAAAAAGGCCAAGAGAAATAGAATATAAAGAAGAGAGGAGAGGAAGAGGGACAAATAGATAAAGAAAACAAAACAAAAGGAGGGATAGAAAAAAGAAAGAAAGAAGAAGAATAGAAGAAAAAAGCAAAGAAAACAGAGAGAGATAGGAGAAATAGGGAAGAAGCAGAAGCAGCGCCACTGGTCCAGCCACCATCTCCACCACCAACGACAACAGACACGCCTCTTCTCATTAGGTAAGTTTCTTTCCTTCTTTGCTCCATCCCGTTTTCTCCTTTTATTGGCATGCAGAATGTAAGCAATTCACGTTCTGCAATCATTGAATAATTGGCTAGTTACTGTGCACATAATTGGCTGGTTATAGGCAAGTACTGGCCCATTTTGTTGTTGGGTCGGTGCTGGTCCATTTTCATGTCAGGCTAGTGTTGGCCCATTTTATTTTTATGTTGGACCGGTACCGACCCATTCTGTTGTATGTTGGGATGGTGCCGACCCATTTTCTTTATGATGGCTTGTGTAGGCCCCGTCCAAGTAAATACACTGTAAAATATAAATTTGGTATTAAAATACCCGGTTTTCATCAACTTAAAAAAATTTTAAAACAAGAAAAAATATTTTTGTATATATAGCCAAGTGTCTCAAAGCTAAAAAAATCATATTGTGTATTTCATGCACCAAAAAACAATGTTTTAGCATGTATTTTGGCTTTAATAATTAGTTTATTAAAGTAAAAAAAAATTAGCCAAAATATCAAAAACAAAAAAAAACTATTTTATGCTATTTTAGTATGAGGGATTATGAATTTATACATAAAATGTATTTTCGGTATGAAAAATATATTTTCTTTTGATGACATAGCACAATTATGTTTCTACCTAATAAGATAAGAATCTCTTTATAGAGAAGGACATTTCTTGACCCTTTACCAACAATTAGAACACACTTTACCAACAATTAGAACACATAACCAGAACACACTTTACCAACAATTAGAACACACAACCAAAACCTTAGTTATTAGACAATAAAACAATGCAGATTACCTTAATTAGGGGGTAGTTACGGTGCTAATACCTTTCCTTTACGCAACCAGTTTCCATACCCCATCTCTGAAACTAATTAGGGTTCCTGACAACCAGAATACTAGGTAACGACTCTCAGTCCATATTTTACTGATAAGAGATAAGAATTCCTTATCTCTCCATATTTGCTAGACTAGACTATACATCTATCTATTACATATATTTTTTAAGGTAGATAATCAATGCGACGTCGTATATGTGTGGCAATAATTATAAAAGAAACTAAAATAGTTGGGTTTTAGAAGGATGAAAATCATTGTTACCAATCTCAAATGAAAAAATTCATTGTTCATTTCTACAAAAAAAAATTTATGTTGATTATCAATTTTTTTTTTTATTATTATTATTTCATCTTTGCAATTTACGTGTTGTGATTTGTTTTTTTTTTTTTTTTAATTTGGATGCTTTCACTTGTGCAAAGTGTCGAAGAACATTTCAACATTAAATTAAAATATAATTTTAGGTTATAATTTAAAAAATCAAAAGAACAAAAGGATCAAATTTAATATAAAAACATATTTGTTTTTTATTTTATTTTTCAGTGTTTAAAAATCTTCAACTTGATCCTTGAAGTTCCAATTTATATAATATCGAGTCCGCACATGTTGAGATAGGAGGAAAAGGCACAAGAAAATATTTAGAATAAAAAAGATATCCGATCAATAATATTTCAATCACAAAAAAAATAAAATTGATCTTGGCATCAATAAATTTATTTTTTTTAAAAAAAAAAGATTGAAAAGAAGATTTTGTTCATATACACATGTTTTTTATTTACACATGTTTTTTATTTGAGCCTAGCATGTGAGCTAGTTTTTCCAAGCACATGGATTGTTTTTTGAAATCAAGTATATATAATCTTTGTTATACAACCCTTAACTTGATTTTATTTTTATTATAAATCTTAGAATAAATTTATTTTTAAATAATTTTATTAAAATGATATTGAAATAATTTTCAAATAAATCTCAAGAAGGTTCTCTTTTTACGATAATATTAACAATTACTTTATAAATAATTATATATTCAATTAATATCTATATATTTATTTAAATTTGATTATGAATATTCAAGAGAATATCCATTTTATTATTACAATTTTTTTTTTTTATAAATGTATCATTCTTAACTTTATTTTAACAAGTGTGCCAAAATAATTCATGAGTTTATTGAAGCTTACTTTTACAATCTTAACAAGCTTTTATTTCAAAAACAATACTTTAATAAAAAAACATAAATAAAGAAAGTTTTTGATTAAAAGATGCATTTGTTCCTTGGCATTAGATTTTATCCGATAGTGCTAATAAAAAGATATGTTATTATCAAAAAGAAAATTACATAAATGAGAATAATTTTGATGGAAAAAAATGAATTTTTCTTTCAAAATTATATAATTAAATAAAAATAATTTTCAGAAAATACTCCACAACAATAGAATAATTAATAATATTCTATTTGTTACTTTCTAGAACTTACTTTAAAAATATATAGAGATACAAGTAAAAAAAAAATCCTAAATAAAAATATTTTTATCATTTTTAATGGGTTATAAATTTTATATTATTTTTTTCTGTGTCAATCTTTTTTTTTTTTTCTTTAATGGATCACATGAAGGTTCAATAACAATGCGATGCAAATTGATACACAAATTTCTTTCTTTGTGCGATGCAAATTGATACACAAATTTCTTTGTTTTTTTTTTTTTACCAAGGCATAAAAGCATGCAACGGAGATAGCGACACCAAGGTACAGTGCACTTGAAATAGGGACGAAAGCCAAGAGGGATACAGGATAAAAGTCGATAAGATAACACAATTCTTAACAGCGGCCATGTTACTGAAGACCTGCCTTGAAACCTTCAGACTTGGACTGCCTTAACAGAGCAGCATCTGGAGTTTTAGTCTGCCGTCCAGCTCTGCTCAACAATTTCCCTCACTCTCCGGTTGTACTCCCGCTTGTTTTCACTGAACATCCTAGCAGCTTCTGAATTTGCAGGAGAATTGGGGTTGGGGTCACAGAGCAACGACTGAAACAAGTTCATGTACAAACTCAATCAACAGAAGTCATTCATGCAGTAAAATTACTCAAAGCATTATGGGATGCTATACTATTGTCAGTATCAGAGTAACAAATGACAAGTAAATTTATGATGTTTTTGGATCTGAATTCTACAGTCCTGAGCAATTTAATTACACAGTGTAAGTCATCATATGATGGAGAAGGGCACGTAGATTGCATAGTTACTAATTATAAAGGATAAAGAACATCCACAAAGAATAGCATGTCTCCTTCAAGTTCTCAGTCAAGAAATTGAAGCTTGTTCCTTCTTCTGCATGTTCAAATCTTTAAAATCCCTTTAAGAAATACAACTCAAAGGCAATCAAAGTCCAAACTAGTGTCAGATAAAAAAAAAAAAAAAAAAAAAAAAAAAAAAAAAAAAAAAAAAAAGTCGTAATGTGTTCATTATTGTTCAAGTTCATCAACTATTACTAACACCATGCATCCTGTGTTTATCTGATCAACTATCCCCCGGTCTTCCATTATTAAAACTTACATATCAGCAGTTTTTTAAGGATTTCTAGGCACTCTCTTATACCAAAACTTAAATGGCAGATAGGGCTTATGTTTTACCATTTCTGGGAAAGGAAAGGGAGCACAATGCTGAAATCATGCAAGATGTGATGCAGGAGATAAAATAATAAGATCTATGCGATCTGTTTAGATCCTAGATTGCAGGGGTATTTTAATATTTTCAAGGTTTGCTGGAAAATCTTTTCCACACCCTTACATTCCAGCAGAAATCCACATCAATCAAAAGCCTAAACAGCCTCTGAGAGTTGGATCCAGAACAACCCCCACGGTTGTCCTGCATCAAGATGTCTTCCATGTATGGTACATAATTTGTGAGCACAGATGATACTCATCAAATACCATGGCCAGGGTTGATTCGTACAAACTTCACAACTAACGCATGCTGGAAACAAAAATTTATTCACCACACCATAGTTCTCTGGTATAAATGTCAATTTATAAGTTAGAATACAATAAAAAGTTGTTTGGTTCACTAGGAAATGCAACAAAATTCATTTCAAAATTCAGCTCGGTATCAAGAAAGGCACAGGGTACTTCGATGCTGAATTAAATTTATTGCTATAGAAAGTTCTCTCCTTTTCTTTTCATGCGTGGGCAGCTGGGCTGTGTTGTCACAAGTGAATTGTCGAGGAGTTTTTGGAACAATTAATAATTTCCTTAGTAATTTTAGTTTTCTCATATAGTTTAGAATAGTTCTGTGATTTAGATTCTTTAGCTGCCACATGATTAGCATGTGACTTAATTAGAGATTTCATTTCCAACAAGTATTAGGATTAGGCTTTAACTAGCATAAATAGGGTGTGCCTAGGCTATTTCACAGGTTGTCTTATTTTCTATCATTCAATTTATGCTTTTGATATTTTCTACAGATCCTAAACCCATTTTTTTCTAGTTCAAGCTTCAATGTTCTTCAAATTTTAACCATGGTGCCATAACTTGATGCTTATCATTGTAATCTCTTCCCACCCTACATCATGAATGCTTCAGTGCATGAACCTTGAGAAAGACAAATTCAGGAACACATGAAGCATATATGAGTGTATCACTGGTCACATAGAATAAACTAATCACTATATCATTGATAACATAATTTCTGCCATACCTGTATAGATGTGAGTATAGCTGCCACATCATATATAGGACTCCACTGATTCTGTAAAATATCCAAACAGATACTTCCATCTGCATAAACTGATGAATTCATAGGGAAAATTAAGCAGTGATAGTCATATTAACGTGAATGCTACACTGATGATAATTCAAGCACTTACTGTTTGGATGAAACATTCGAGAAACAAATCGCACTGTGGGTGGTTTGTTTGGATAATCCTCGGAAAAATGAAGAGCCAATTTAAATGTGCCTGGAGAACTCAAAAAAAATTTGATTCATGTAGATTTAAATGTTACTAGAAATTGTAACAATGAGGTTATTGAAGCAATGAAAGCAAAATAAAAAAAAAAGACCAAAAAATTGCATACAATTGTCTTTTCACTTGAAGTTATGCAGCAAGCACATATGGCTTCATAGCTGGCCTATGACTAGATAATTTTTCATGATTCAGCAGTAAACATGCAAGCTAATAAAAAGTAGACCAGTCAAATAGCTGCTCATCTTCAGCTTCACCTTGGGCTTGGACTTGAATAGCCTAACAACAACTTCAAATCACACATCGTGGCAAATTATTTGATTTTGGCATGACTGACTAGTCAGACAAACTAGAGCTCATCCTCTTACATTTTTAAAACTATTTCATAAGAAGAAGAAGAATGTACAAGTAAAGCTTCAGAAATAAGTCATCTGGCTAAGTGAGGAACTAAACACAAAAATTCAAAGCAAGAGGCACTCCAGTCTCACTGAATGCAAAGTCAAGGTAATACTTATGAAAGCACTTGCAACAAAGCACCCTAAAGAAGCAATATATGCGATCCCAACCCACAAAAATAACCGCAATGTGTAATGGTCCTTGACAATTCTAGAAATCCTCTCCACTACAGCAATCAAGTAAGAAAAAGAAAGAAAGAAAGTAAAATTAGCATCACACCCCAAAATTCCACAACCACCCCGCTCCAAGAACATAAAAAAGGATGTTGAAATTTGACTTGGGCTCCATAAACTATTTGGCTTCGGTTTTTGTTTAACCTGATCTCATTAGTTTGTGTAGTAAAAATGAATTATTCTGATAATTCTAAGTCAAACTACTGAAAAATGCAAGATTTGCCTATGAAGCATATTATATTTGCATGTCAATGCATGGTTACACACTAATATGCCATGCAATGCAATACTTTAACACAGTTAAGCAACACGATGATTAGACTAGACTGGACAAGAAAACGACCAAGTTAAACTTCAGCTTGCACTTGATTCAATAAGGTACAATTTCAAACCAGCACTCAACAACAAGATAAAGCGGAGTGAGTTGTTGTTTTGAATATATAATGTAACTGTCCAGCATTTGAACATTCATGAAGCCAAATGAAACAGATGCATATAATCCAAGAAATTTCTATGGGGACATTGAAACATTGAAAAAAAAAAATGCAGAAACACATAAATTGCATGGAAACATGAGCTCATCCATCTAGCACATCCTTTCCCAGAGTACAAGCTTTAGAGCAAGGATTACTCACCTCCATCCCATGGAGTGTCATCAGGACTGCGATCAAAATCAGACAAAAATAGCTTAACAAATTGTACTTACATATATAAAAAAAAAATGAAAGAAAGGACGAAGAAGCAAGGGAAATTTTTTTTTTTCCAGAATGGCTTCTTAACTTACCCAAAAATCACAGCATTCCAAAGCATTATGTTGTTATCTTGAGGTGCTCCACTGATGCCTGCAGGCGGGTCTTGCTGCAACCTCTTAAAATCTCTCATCAATCTCTTCCGTGCAGGAGTCGACATTGCGGGGGGCACCTGCAAAGCTAAATCATCAAACCTTTAGAAAAATCCCAATTCAATTTCAACCATCAATAAACACAACATAACGATGATTGGAAAAATATAAATAGACAATCCTTCTAATATTTATCACAGCATAGGATCACATAACTCAATTATAAAATCTTGGGCTTTCTCCATACTATTCATGTGCTGTATATCTTAAGACAACGCGAATCCCGACAAAACCAAAAACCCATCAATCAATCTACCACGCGGCAAAACAATTAGGGTTTACGATTTCTCCATATCTTCTGATTTTATTTATGCATATTAATACAGATCTAAAAATAAACAAATAAGAAAGTAACAGCAAATATAAATGAATTAGTTACCTGTAAGAAGAAGAGATAGAGAGGTGGTTTCCTCTTCTTGTCTCTTTCTTTGGGAGCTGAGGATGGATTGATGAAGAGCAGAATCCCAATTATTTTTTTTTAAAAAAAGAGAGAGAATCAAGCTTCTTCTTCGATTCTCTGTAAAGAAATTGGAATGGATTGGATGGATGATGCTCGGCTTATTGAGTGCGTGAAGAGACCGACTCATCCGATTCCGTCCGTACCTATCTAATTCACTTTTCACTGCCTGTAAAACGTAAAAACTTTACTATTTTTTATAATTAATTATAGACTCCTACACCTTACCCTTTTTTTTAATATATATCTTTATATATTCATCAATTTTTTTATATAATTTAGTATGTTCAAATTAATTTACATGTATTAATTTTTTGACTCACTAAATATCTTATATAAACAAGTAAAATATTGTATAAATAACAGATATATATAAAAAAATCAAACTCAAATAGAAAAAAAATACAAATTCCTTTTTATGCGAAACCACAACCTGAAGTGTAAATATTATATTATATTTTTTAATTTTATCCCTGTAGTCTTAAATTGTTTCGCCATTTACAACTAAATAACTAAAAAATATGACTTTTTCATAATTTGATTTTCTTCCTCGTACATTCCTCTCATTTTTCATTTAATTCCTCGTACATGTCATGATATTTTTCTCAAAAACTAAATTCAAAAGGCATGTTGGGGATGATGTTGGGAACTTCTTGAAACTGAAAGGGTAACATGAAAGACTTTAAACAATAGGGGTTGAAGTGAACATAGACGAGGGACAAAATCTAAATCTATCCACACACAAAAAGTGAGTCTTTTTATCTTGTATAGTTATAATGGTTGTTTTTTAAAAAGATATTTTATTTAAAAATTTATTAAATTTTATTTTAATATAAATATATTAAAATAATTTAAAAATATAATAAATTTAAATTTTTTTAAAAATATTTTTTAACCACGAAAATAAATAAACGCACGAGATAAAAATACACAGGATAGTACAGCAATACACTCTCTCTTGAAGTGTGTATGGGTGTGTGTATATATATAAAACTTAAAAAAATAAATATTAGAAAAATTTAAAAATAAAAAAAAATTGTTAAAATTTGTAAGATTTTATTTATTTATAGCTACAAATTATATTTTGAAAATTTTAATTATAGTGGAATTTTTTTACTTATTTTTAAAAACACAAGAAGATAAGAATATGATTGTTATGTGTTTATTAATTTATGCTAGATTCTTTTTATGTATTTTTTAAATCAAAAGAAAAATGCTAGAAAAAAAATAAATTTATGTAAAGATTATAAAACCTTAAACATGAAATCAAAACTTTCATGCAAAATTAAATTGAAAAATCATGCCTATGAAAAAAATACACAAAATTGAATCATATATATTTAAATACATAATTTTATCCTTTATTAACGAAGTAAAAAATAAACCAACACTTATTTTTTAAAATAGAAATATAATAAAGGACACATTTTATGATAAATAAATAGACAGTTAGCTAAAAAATAAAGAATTTTTAGAAATAACAACAAATACAACATATCATTAATGAAGTCAAAAAATAAAGTAACACTTATTTAATAAAATAAACTTTTCTATGGTAAATAAATAGATAGTTAGCTAAAAAAAATAAAAAATATAAAAAATAACAACAAATACAACATATATATGTTAATAAACAATTAAAAATAAGTTTTTCAACCATTGTTAATTTATTTTTTCATTTTAGAATAAAGGGAAAAATTCAAAAACATTTACATTTATAAATAAATTAAAAAGTTGGTAAGAAAAATTAACACATGTGTTAAATTTCTTAATATTTGTTTTTGAGATTTTAACAATTTTTTTAGTTCTTCTAACCAATAAAAAACTAACATGTATTTACTAGAAAATCGGATTGACTATATACGAAGACACCTTCATTGTTGGTTAAGGAAATATTTGATTATTTATAATACTACAGGGACCAATTAAATTAATTTTAATAAATTATAGGCAGTTGTAATTACTCTTTTAAAGGTCCTCTCATTTTCTATCGCAAGCCCAAGGAATACCGAGGTTATATTTAGGAATGCGATACAGTTATAGTTGAATACCGAGGTTATATTTAGGAATGCGATCAGTTATAGTTGAAAGTATTTTTTATTTAAAATATATAAAAGGTATTTTTTATTTAAAAATATATAAAAAAATTATTTATTTTAATTTGTTAAAAATTATTTTTAATATCAACACATTAAAACAATTTAAATAATATAAAAAATAATAATTTTAAGTAAAATAAATTTAAATTTTTGAGAAATACAATTTCAACTAATATTCAAAGCTAAATATTAAATTAAGATTAACGTGTGTCAATAAAAAAATAATTTGACATGTATTATGATTTAATAAATTACTTTATCTTATACCAATATTTTTATAAAATTAAAATTATTTATGTAAACAAGACTCAACTACTACAAATAATAGTCATCCTCGTATATTTAGATTCCTATAATATATCATTTTTCTTCCAAGGTTTTATCATTTTTATTTTCTTTATTGCTTTCTTCACTATTTTTCTTTATTTCTTAAGCATTTAAGTTTCCAACAAACATATTCTTCTTTAGAAGTCTTTTGTTTTATTTATATGGTATTGCTTTTAGAAAAGATTACCATTACTAAAAACAGGGCTATTAACATTTGAATTTAGTAACAGAATTATCCATTGCTAAATTCAGTAACAGATTGGCAATGGATTAAACATATATTTTTTTTTTAATAATAGTAACATGCTTTAGCAACAGAAAATTCATTGCTAAAAACAACATAAAGTTTGCAACGGATAATTTGTTGCTTCTTCTTTAGAAGTCTTTTGTTTTATTTAGATGGTATTGCTTTTAGAAAAGATTATCATTTCTAAAAACAGGGCTATTAACATCTGAATTTAATAAAAGAATTATCCATTGCTAAATTCAGTAACAAATTGGCAATGGATTAAACATATATATATTTTTTTAATAATAGTAACATGCTTTAGTAACAGAAAATTCGTTGCTAAAAACAACATAAAATTTGCAACGGATAATTTGTTGCTAATTAAAAAAATAATTATTTAAATCTTAATATAAAACTAAAATTATAGAAACCGTTGATTATTTTTTATATGATAAAATCCCAACTGTTTAATTTCCTTTCATTTCTTTCTACACCTGTAGGACCCCCCCACCTCACACCCTTAGAAACGTAAACAAAGAACAACAAAACTAGTAGCTGAAATTTAATTAACTTCTCATTTTCTTCATTCTTAATAACATACATAGCTGTAGAAAAATCATCCTCTCATCATCAATTTGATTTTTCTTTATCCCAAACTTTTTATCTTCTTCTCACTCGTCTTTAACATCTCTAATTTTTTTTCTTCATCTTTTCTCTTTCATCTTAATAGTTTCAATCTTTCTCTGTAAACCACTAAAAATATAGACTCATTGCAACATCGCACCAGACCTATCATAATCACCAATGAACATCCTAATTTACCCCTTTTCTTTGTAAACAGGTTGGGTTTTGCACTATTTTCTTCAATAATTCAAGTAATTAATTTAGGATTTATATTTTTCTCTATTGCAATTTAACTTACACTAAAACATTTTAACCTAACTTTTCCAATCTCAGGTGTTATTCTGTCATATAGGTTTATCCCGTTCACCTATAACTCATGAACACAAGTAATAATTTTTTTTTTTTATCGATACTTTGAATAATGGTTTTATGCTATTAATTCGATAATATAAGGGTTTATGAAATGTTTTTACCATGATCTATAACCTAATTATTCATGTTTAATTAAAAATTTATGAAAACTCCCAATTTAATTTTTAGGGTTACGGTTCACAAATTGAGTAATTTTAGGCAACTGGATCAATTCTGGTAATTCATGTGTTTGGAAGAGAGTGATTGATAGAAATTATGCATCAGTTCAATTTCTTCACTTTCACTGACGTGTTTTAAGATTTTATAACTTGCTATCTTTCTGCTTCAACTTTTTAACTTGTGATGCTCTACTTCTATAAATTTTAAATGTTACAAGAGCATATGGATGCTGTTCAAATCTAGAGAGTCTAGCAACTGGTTAACATGTGATGCTCTGCTTCTATAGTAGTTCAAGTATTTTTTTTTCTTGCTATGATTTGATTGAGCATGCTTGCAAAGTTTTAGTGCTACATTTTAGTCACAGCAAAATCCAAATTACTAGGATGTGGTGGTTGCTGATTAATGTAGTTATTTTTTCAAAATATGTAATTATTAGATTTAGTTGCAAAATATGTAATTATTAGATTTAGTTGCAAAATATGTAATTATTAGATTTAGTTGCAAAATATGTAATTATTAGATTTAGTTGCAAAATATGTAATTATTAGATTTAGTTGCAAAACTTATACGCACGTATTTTCCTTGACAAAATTCAAATTTTACAATCCTATTCATATTTCTAATATCATCTTATTTTCTGGAATAATCCACCTTTTATTTTGCTTTGTGTTATGCAGGAGAAACATTAACTATTTCAGGTACCATTTGTTTAGATCACATGGTATTCATAAAGTTGTATTTATTGTGATAGACAAATTAAAAGCAGGTACCATTTGTTTAGATCATATGGTATTCATAAAGTTATATTTATTGTGATAGATTTATAATTCTGTTTTTATCTGATTTCTACTCTCACAAGTCAAGGCAGCACACCAACTTCTTAAGACTATTCCACATAGTAATGAGAGCAAGAGGGTTGATGGAATTCCTATTTTTAGCAAACAAAATTTAGATATTGCAGTAGCTACCAAAGACGGGATTTAGTGGTGTGTATTGATTCTTTTGTATCAAAATAAATAAATAAATAAATTGGGGGTTTTGATAATGCATATTTATATTTATTTTTCTTGTAGATCTTATTTTTGAATGTTCATATGAACATGATGCTAGTTATATTCAATTAAGTTTTCAGGGCATAAGACTGGTTTTTTTTCTTTCCTTATTCGATGCCAGTTTGTATATAAAAAAATTAATTGAATGATTTTCTTTCATTAAATCTGATATTAAGTTTCTTTTTGGATGGAAATTATAAGACCAAAATGAAACCTGTAGATGACTAAATAATATATCAATTAACTACAAATTCATTTTGATTGT